GCCAGGATGGTCTCGATCTCCTGACCTCGTGATCCGCCCGTCTCGGCCTCCCAAAGTGCTGGGATTACAGGCTTGAGCCACCGCGCCCGGCCTGAGTACATTTAAAAGCAAGTACAAGGCACTATGTAGCCTGAAGGAAAAACAGGAAAACAGTTAAAAGCAGAGATGCAACATGATAGAGTGGCGTGTCAGGAAATTACAGGGAAAACTCCCATGTCAGAAGCAAGTGCCACATTGCAGGAACTAGCCATACAGACTATAAAAAATTCCAGACATTAAATACAGAAGGCAGAGGCTCAAGTCCTAATCATATTTTTGAATATTAAAATTTTAATTTGGTTCACATTAGACCTACACCCCAAAACATAAGGGAAAAACTTCAACAATCCTTATTTTCAGCTTAAAATAATGTATTTGAGATGAATGCTTCATGTTCAATTTAACTTGGTGTTAGTCCTCTAATGAATGTATGTTAAAGAAGGCCACTTAGGAAAAAGGAAAACAATGGTGAAAATTCTGTGGCACCTTGAAAGTCAATCAAACATTTCCATTAGCAAACTGCAAATTTGATTACCAAATAAATGGGTATAGTTTACAAACATTTATCTGATAAATTTGTATTAGCTAGCTTTGATAAAAAATGAAAGATATTGCAAGCAATTTATAAGATTCTTAACTTAAAAAATTAAAAAAATTAAGTATTCATACCTTTGAGTCCATAAGAACTTTTGTTTGACAGATCCTGAGCTACGTTGTGAGTATCTGATGCCAGTTCTGTGGACCAATGTAAAATTGAGCGTTTAAACATATCAAAAGAATGAAAGTATTCATCACAAGAGAAGATAGTCACCGTCAAAGCTATGTATATGCTGCGTTACTGCCCAAGGATAGTGAAATGTAGTTGAAATCCATACTCTTACAGGTCACTGCAAATCAAGTTATGAATTTTATCCCTGATGGCTCTTGGACGCTCAAATTACTTCAATTATTCTCACTCTCATGCCCATGTTTACCAAGTTCCCTTCTCACTCATCAAAGAGAGTATTCTAATCTGTTTAACAGGTACCAGTTTTTAGAAAACTTATCAATTAGCATTCTGAGTATACACAAGTCTTTCTAGTTTGGTTAATTTGAATGCTCCTCACATTGCGAACAGATTTGTGGTTATTGTACTGTCAACAGTTGGGTTTCTGAGCCTATAAGGCCGAGTCCTGGACTCAGAACTCCCTTATCAACAAGCCAATACCATTCTGTGAGGCCTCTGGAAAAATAGCCAGCACCATCAACTGATGACATCCTTTAACTGTATTCTACAACAAACTGGTTTTGCTTATCTAAATGCTTTCAGCAAGAAATCTGCTACTTTAAATGATAAGTGGGAGGAGATGAAAGAAGAAAGAGAGGAGGAAAGATAAAATAAGAAAAAAAGTAACTAATTGACTAATTCAACATTCTGCTTCAACAGTTGGACAACATTCGGCTTCAAAGCCATGGAAGTGGGCACAGCTTCCACACACAGTTCCTCCACACTGTGTGGAAGCTGTGCACAGTGGTGCAGGGCTGTAGTTCCAGCTACACAGGAGGGTGATGGAGGAGGATCACTTGAGCCCAGGAGTTTGAGGTTGCAGTGCACTAAGATTATGCCTGTGAATACCAACTACACTCCAGCCTGGGCAACAAATTGAGACCCTCATCTCTTAAAAAAAAAGAAGAAAAAAATCATCAGTGGAGGTATTAATAAAGGCACTATAATATCACATACATATTTTTGTTTGGATGTGTTTTCATTCCACTTTTATAAAAACCTAAGAATGGGGTTGTCAGATGGTATGATAAAGGTATGCTTTCCCACCAGGCATGTATATGAGTACCTGTTATTCCACAGTCCTCACCAGCACTTGGAATTTTTCGTTTCCTTTAAAGTCATTTTAATAGGTGAATGGGCGTAACTCAATGTGGCTTTACTTTGTATTTCCCCAATGACGAATGATGATGAGCACATTCTTACGGATTTGTTTGCTATCCATTTATCATCTTCCCTTGTAAATGCAAATACTTTGCTGTCTATGAACTTTTTCTGTTAAAATAATTACAGATTCACAGGAAATTATCCTTCACCAGTCTCCGTGTTGAAATAGACATTACACAAAATTTACCACGTCTAACCCTCTTCAAGTGCACAATTTAGTGGCACTGAGTATATTCCCAATGCTGTACAATCACTACTATCCATTTCTAGAACTTCTTCCATTTTTTTCCCCCATTTTTAATTGCTCATTTGTTTTAGGGGGTTGTTTTCTTATTACTGAATTGTGAGAGTTCTTTATTTATTTTGTATATAAGTCCTTATCAAATACGGATTTTATATAAACACTTTCTCCAAGACTACAGCTCATCCTATCATTTTTCTCTTCAGAAGAATTTTACAATTTTTGATAAAATGTACTTTGTCAGTTTTCTCTTTTATGACTCAGGCTTATCAGATTCTATATAAGAAATCTTCACCTAACCTAAAGTCACTAAGATTTGCCACTATAAGTTCTTTGTAAGTTGTACTTTTAGGTTTCATGTTTAAGTATAAACTTGCAGGGTAATTTTTGTATACAGTATAATGTATGGCATTGAACTGCCTCATAATCTTTGACAAAAAACAATTAGCCATATGTATATGTAAACTACTATGCTATTGATTTATATGTCTTGCTTACTGTAGTGTTAGAGCAGTTCTTAAAATTAGGGAGTGTAGAACTTTTTTTTCTTTTCAAAACTGTTTATGCTACTTTAGTCCCTTTAATATTATATAAAAATTTTAGAGTCAAGTGGTCAAGGCCAGGCAAAATATCTCACACCTGTAATCTCACCACTTTGGGAGGCTGAGGTGGGCAGATCACTTGAGGTCAGGAGTTCAATACTGACCCGGCCAACATGGTGAAACCCCGTCTCTGCTAAAAATACAGGGGAAAAAAAAAAAAAACCCAGCTGGGCATGGTGGCACACACCTGTAATCCCAGCTACTCAGGAGGCTGAGGTAGGAGATCACTTGAACCCAGGAGGTGGAGGTTGCAGTGAGGTAAGATTGCAACACTGCACTCCAGCCTGGGTGACAGAGTGAGAATCTATCTCAAAAAAAAGAATCAAGTTGTCAAAAATCTGAGAAGATTTTGATTGGAATTATGCTGAAGCTATCGATCAATTTGGAGAGAAATGACATTTCAAAGATTTTGAGTCTTCCAATTCATGAACACTGAATATGTTCCCTTTTATGAGGGTCTTCTTTTATCTTTCCCAACATGTTGCATAATATCAACATACAAATCTTGCATATATATAGTCAGAAATACAACTATTTCTTGTTTTTTTGGTACTCTAAAAAAAGTACTGTTTTTCTTATTCTTTGTTTACAATTGTTCATTGCTAGTAAAGAAGCACCATAATTATATTTTAATGCTGGTTATAATTCTATACGCATTTGTTAGAATTCATCCTCTATACCTCTAAAGGGAGAATTTTATCTCATATATATATAAACTACATCAACAAATTTGATTTTTTTTAAAAATCAGTGGGGAATATTTACATGAGATGGACTACCATGGATTAATAAATTCAAAGACTGAGTCAATAAAAACTAAATGTCACAACAGTAAGACTAAAATATATTAAAGTGGTATATCCCTCTATTTATTGTCTTCTTTATTTTCTCTCAATATTGTTTTCTATTTTTTCTAATCTTACATATTTTACATATCATTAGACTTATTCCTAGGTATTTGGTGTTTTCTGGAGCTACTAGCAATTTTTTTCCATTTTCTGTTTGTTGACGATTTACAGAAATACATTCATTCATGAAACTTGCGTCTTGCATTTTGTGCTTGTGAAACTCTCCAATAATTCATCTATAGTTTCTTTTACATAATCACAGAAAACAACGGTTTATTCTCCCTTTCCAGTCCTTATGACTTACTTATTTTTCTTTATTGCACTGGCTAGGACCTCCAGAACAGTGCGAATGGAAGCAGTGACCACATGTTTTTATCCTGTTCCAGAGGAAAAACACTCAATATATCACCAGTGACTGTAATACCGGCTGTAAGTTTACAGATATTCCTTATCTGATTAAGGAAATTCCTTGTATTTCTAATTGCCAGGGTTTTGTTTGTTTTTAATTAGAAAAATTATTTCTGCTCCTTTCATAGATCTTATTGTTCAGGAAACAGTCATACATACATATTTGGAATAATGTATTATCACACTCCCTATTAAAAGGCAAGGCAACATAGGTAAAACTGATCAGCCATCCAGAATTCTCAACTTATGGAATCTTGCTTCTTGATTTTACATTAATTCTGAAAATCAGAAATGTCATCTACAAAAAAAAGTTAAAGGGGCTGTAAAACATAATCACTTTATTCAATATTATATTTGTAAACTGGAGTATATTTTCTTTAAAAAACGAAAAACTAAGAAGAAAATGTCACTCAACATCACTGATCTCAACAGATCAGCAGGAAAAAAAATACTGTGATAAACTTGTCTCTGATACCAAGAAGAAATTTTACTCCAAGCATCAATACACTTCCAGTGTTTTCACTACATATTTCTTTACTGCTGCTCTTCATTCTTTTCCACATTTCACAATAGCGGATTGGTATAGACTTTAAAACTTCATTGACAGGAGCAAATCCAGTATCCATTGATTTCTTCTCAAAAGACACTCTAACCTATCAGATTGCCTGGCAGTTTCATTCTCATGAATACTCTAACTGTAAAAAAAACTCAATAGGACACAAACAAATCCAAAGAATAGAAGAAGAAATTTGCTGCGTTTGGGGATATCTGGTGCATTTTACTGGTCCAGGATTATGAAACCTAAACCTCCCACTGTAAACAGGAAGCTGGATGCAAGTCCTTCCATAATAATATATTGTCCATTTACTCTGTACACCAAGAAAGCTACTGGCCTCTGATGCCCATGTTCATCAGCCAACACTTGGAGGTTCAACAATAACATCATAAATTATTCCTCTAGTCATGAGGAAGCAAGACATCACCACCAAAGCATACACAGTCATGGCTGAAGGCATGTGCAGCCTGGTCGGCTTCGTCAGCTTCACGTTGGGACATTCAAGCACTAAGAATGGGCCGTGGTACAAAGTCTCCATGTTGCTGGAATCAAAGACCATTATCCGGCTCAAATCCCACATGCCATTCGGAAACACTGTTGGTTTGTTTTAATCATGAACGAATATTGAACCCTTTTCCTTACAGAAATAATCATAAGGATTTTTATCTTTAATTCTGTTAAACGGATAATACTTATTTCTGTATTTTTATATATAACACACATAACATGAAATCTACCCTTTTACAGTAGACAGTTGAATAATTTTTAGTATATTCACAATTTGTGTAACCATCACCTCTGAAACAAACCCCATACTCATTCGTAGTCACTCACCACTTTTCCCAAATAGTTCCAGTCCTAGGCAACCACCAAGCTAATTTCTGTCCCTATAAATTTGCCTTAGACATTTCAGACAAATAAAATCATAAAACACAATATATGTGGTCTTTCTGTGACTCTGCATACTATTTTCAAGGTTCATTCATGTTGTAGCATGTACCTTAATTCCTTTTTATGGCTGAACATTATTCTATTCTATGTATATTCTATATTTTGCTTATACATTCATCCATTGATAAACATTTGAGGTTTCTTCCCCTACCCTGACAGACCTGTTCAATAGGAAGTATGGGTTGTTTCTACTTTTTTATAATTATGAATTATGTTGCTATGAATCTTTTTGTACAAGATTTTTATGTGAACCTACATTTTCCTGTCTTTTGGGTATGCATCTAGGAGTGGACTGATTTGTTTTTTAAAAGTTAAACAAACTAAGCTGGGCATGGTGGCTCATGTCAGTAATCCCAGCACTGGCTGGGTGGGAGGATCTTTGAAGCCAAGAGTTCAAGACCAGCCTCTGCAACAATGCAAAATCTTGTATCTACAAAAAATTTTAAAATTCACCCAGTGCAGTGGTGTGTGCCATAGTCCCAGCAGTAAGTACTAGGGAGGTTAAGGTGGGAGGATGGCTTGAATCCAGTGGTTCAAGGCTACAGTGAGTGATGATCACACCACTGCACTCCGGCCCGGACAACAGAGTGAGATGTTCTCTTAAAAAAAAGAAAAAGAAAAGAAGGTGGGGCACGGTGGCTTACGCCTGTAATCCCAGCACTTTGGGAGGCCAAGGTGAGTGGACCATTTGAGGTCAGCAGTTCGAGACTAGCCTGGCCAACATGGTGAAACCCTGCCTACTAAAAATACAAAAAAATTAGCCAGGCATAGTGCCGGAAACCTGTAATCCCAGCTACTCAGGACGCTGAGACAGGAGAATCGCTTGAACCTGGGAGGTGGAGGTTGCAGTGAGCCAAGATCATGCCATTGTACTCCAGCCTGGGTGACAGAGACTCCATCTCAAAACTCCCCCACCCCAAAAAACACAGTTAAGCAAACTTAAATACCAGGTGTAATTCATTCTTTCTCTTTCTTTCGTTCTTTCTCTCTCTCTTTTTTTGAGACAGAGTCCCACTCTGTCACCCAGGCTAAAGTGCAGTGGCAGAATCTCAGCTCACTGCAACCTATGTCTCCCAGATTCAAGTGATTCTCCCACCTCAGCATCCCAAGTAGCTGAGACCACAGGCATATGCTACTACACCCAGCTAATTTTTGTATTTTTTTGCAGAGATGGGGTTTCACCATGTTGCCCAGGCTGGTCTCAAACTCCTGAGCTCAAGTGATCTGCCCACCTAAGCATCCCAAAGTGCTGGGATTACAGGTGTGATTTAACACGCTCGACCCAAGCATAATTTTAACGTGGTTATGGTAACCTTTTCCTGTTTCTGTCTTACTGAATTCTATTTTCAAATACTTAGGTTAAAGATTTTTACAAGAGTGAAATTAGTAATTCCAAACTTGTTGCCAAAAAAAAAAAAAAACATCGACATACAGTATCTTATAATCTCCTTAATATCTGTATGATCTATATCAATATTCCTTTTCTCCTTCCTGGAACTAATTACTCATGTTCTTCACCTTCCCTTGATGATCTCATAAGAAGCTTAACAATTTTACTAGTGTTTTCAAATAACAACTTACAAATTTTGTTGACCCTCTTTACAGTTTCTCTATTTACAGTTGATTAGTTGTGATTCTGGTCGTACTCTCTTACTTTCTGGCTAGGGTTGATGTTATATGGATGCTTGTGTGCATTATTTTATTTTTTTATTTTTTGAGACACAGCCTTGCTCTGTTGCCAGGTTGGAGTGCAGTGATACAATCATAGCTTATATCATCCTCAACCTCCCAGGCTCAAGTGACACTCCCCTCTCCAGCCTCCCAAGCAGCTGGGACCATAGGCGCACACCACCATGCCATGTTAATTTTTTACGTTTTCTTAGTATAGATGAGATCTTACTATGTTAATCAGGCTCACCTCAAACTGTGGCTCAAGTGATCCTCCCGCCTCAGCCACCTAAATGCTGAGATTACAGGCATGAACCACTTGCACCAGGGCTTGATAATTTATTGAACTATATTCTAAATCCAGGTTATATTTCATTGTGTTAAATTATGTTTTTGTTTTTGTTGTTGTTTTGAGATGAAGTCTCGCTCTGTTGCCCAGGCTGGAGTGCAATGGCACGATCTCGGCTCATTGCAACCTCCACCTCCTGGGTTCAAGCAATTCTCCTGTCTCAGCCTCCCAAGTAGCTGGGATTACAGGCACGCACCACCAAGCCTGGCTAATTTTTTTATATTTCTGTAGAGACGGGGTTTCACCATGTTGGCCAGGCTGCTCTCGAATTCCTGACCTCAAATGCTCCATCTGCCTTGGTCTCCCAAAGTGCTGGGATTACAGGTGTGAGCCACTGCACCTGGCTAAATTATGTTTCTATAAGTATAATCTCAATACTTACTGTACAAAGAGCTCTATATAAATAAACAACCAATATTTACCCCAAGAATTTCAGAAAATAATCCAGAAACAGCATGATACAGAAAAACCTGCAGTAGCAACGTTGATACAAATCCATCTATCATCTACCACATTATCATACATTATCTGACCAAAGAATCCACCATTAGAAATGGGAAGTACTTCCAGTAAAAAATCTTCTCCTCAGAAATTCTATATATCTGTGACATACTTTGATTGGAGTGTGGGTTTGTGCTGATTTATGCCAATTACCTTATATAGCCTCTTTCTTAGCTCGCAGAAGGGAAAATCAAATTCTTTGTCATCATGAGATTTATATGTGACAGACTTTGGTGGTAAGAACCAACTAAGAATAGTTTCAGAGGTAGGACAGTAGCCTGTTTTTCATTCTTTTCCATCAGCACATTTAGACTTCATCTTTGCATGAGAACATAAAACTCTTAATAGCTCAAACATTTAAAACTCATCTCTGGCAAAAACAGAACACTTACCAGTTCCCTCATCTGCACCATTCTGAGCAGCTTCCCAAACTACTAGCTTTGTCCCACACACATCTGTAGATGTAGAATCTGAATAGTCCGCAGGATTAAATGTCCTGGGGTTTGAAATAAAGAAATAATAAAGGCAAGAGAAGCAAGCACCTAAGCCAAAATATTAACCATACATGATCTTCCACCAAACAAGCCCAGTGTCTTCTCACAGCCACTGTAAAAGACATCACCTCTCCTTCCCCTATTTAAATATAACTAATTCTGCCAGCCATGGAGATGCAGATGTGAAAACCAGAAGCTGCCTAGGGACCTTCCACACATTCTGGTATAATAGCCTTATTTTCCTAAAACATGGTCCTCAGCATCCTAAAGCAGACAAGGAGACCCATAATCTTTCAAGGCAGAATAAGGGCTCTCATAAGAGTCCTGCTGAAAAATAAGGAATAAATAGGGAACACAGGTATTTTCTTCCCAAGTCAGAATCCAAGTTTGGCTCTGAACCTTTTATAGCTTAGAATTATATGCTCCTTTATAGAAACATTAGATAAAGAAGAAAACATTTTGTTCAGCACCTCTATTTCTTTTCAATAAAATCCTAAACTGAACACCCAGTTTAACTGAATCATGGTTCAGAGGTCTAACATGAGCCAAAACAAATATTACCTTTAAAATTTTCACAAGGGAATGTGAAGTAAACAGAAAAACCCACAAAACAATTTACAGCTAATGGGCAGGGCTATGTCTTAAAGCGCTCCTGAGAGTTTGCTCCCTGTGTTTTCATCCCTCCTTTTCCTCGAAGGAGCTTAGGCAGAAGGCAGATTGCAGGAGGCACCACCACTTATCTAGAAGGCACTGACACCAAGAGTGCTGCCTGAAGTTAGAGAGAGACAAAGGGCTTTTCTTGGAGCCAATTCCCTTCCTTGACTGAATCTACGTGTGGCTTCCACAGGATGTTTTAAAACTTTTTCTAAAAATTCAATGGGAGCTAATGTTTTAGAAGCAACAAAAAGTAAAATAACACCCGGAAACAAGAAATAAACCTCTGATTTTACTACCTTTGAGTCTGTTCAATGTTCACTATTACAATTCAGGAAAAAGATATCACTTATACATAAATAAGCACTACATTTACTTAGCATTCGAAGACAATGGCTGGATTAACTAACATGGCCCTTAGGCAGTGCCATTTAGGTATGTCTGTAGGTATGTTGTCACAACTTCAGGTGACTGCTACTGATATTTATTAATAGTACAGAGAGGACAGATGTTGCTAAACATCCTACAATATACAGGAGACCCTACCACTCCATGGAAGTATTATCCAATCCACAATCAATAGTGCCAACGCTAGAAACCCTGCTCTAATGCCTATTTAAAAGATCAATTTTATTCATATTATTTTTCTTATTTGTAAATCTCTTTAAGTATAGAAAACACTAGATTCACCATGATGATCAAATTAGATGCAGGGTATTAGAGGCAATTGAAGCATAAAAACTAGGGAATTAAATAACTATAAAAATAGGATGGCTATGACTTACCCCATGCCTTGGGTTGAGAACCTTCCTGCCCCTCTCCCTCTGCCACGTCCAAATCCTTTAAAAAAAAACAATTATATTATAAAATAATATTCATGTCCTACACAATTACACTTCCTTCTTCATCCTATACTCACTACCCAGACAATATTATCATTGTTCCTAATGGCACCAACATTCCAATCCAGGGCATCCAATTTCCAATTTACTGATCCCTGATGATACAACTACCTATACCCAGTTAGTGACTTCTAAGGCTAGAAAAGAATTAAATTCTCCTTGTATTATATTTGTGGTATTTGACAGCTAAACACAGGAAGGTTATATTATAAAACAGTCTGCACCCTTTACAATCAGGAAGGGCAAACACCACGGAATTATAAGCCACTACTATAAAATGAAATGAGAACCAGAAAGAGGAAAATTCAAAGTAAGCTGAAGGCACTGTTAAATATCATTTTAAATACTAGGTCCTTGATCAAAGACCAAAATGGCAGCAAGCATGGGAATAAGCAAACAAGAAGAGAAAATTATGACTAGCACCTTTCCACATTCTCTCTTCATTAAAATCCTGAACTGAAGAGCAAAGGCCTAAATTTAAGAGCTAAAACTATAAAACTCTCAGAGAAAAACACAAAGCAAATGCTTTACAACACTGGATTTAGCAATGATTTCTTCAATATGACACCAAAACTACAGGCAAAAAAAGAAAAACTAGACAAAATGGACTTTATGAAAATTAAAAACTTTTCTGAGACAGGCATGGTGGCTCACACCTATAATCTCAACAATTTGGGAAGTTGAGGTGGAAGGGTGGCTTGAGCAAGGAGTTCAAGGCCAGTCTGGGCAATACAGGGAGACTCCCTCTCTACAAAACTATTTTTTATGGGCACAGTGGCATGAGCCTCTAACAAAAAATTTTTTTTAATTAAAAAATCCAATCCGGGGCCGGGCGCGGTGGCTCAAGCCTGTAATCCCAGCACTTTGGGAGGCCGAGACGGGTGGATCACGAGGTCAGGAGATCGAGATCATCCTGGCTAACACGGTGAAACCCCCGTCTCCACTAAAAAACACAAAAAACTAGCCAAGCGAGGTGGCAGGCGCCTGTAGTCCCAGCTACTCGGGAGGCTGAGGCAGGAGAATGGCGTAAACCTGGGGGACGGAGCTTGCAGTGAGCTGAGATCCAGCCACTGCACTCCAGCCTGGGCGACAGAGCGAGACTCCGTCTCAAAAAATAAAAAAATTAAAAAAAATCCAATCCATCTTCCCCATAAATTCTAACAAGATAATAGAATTATTGTTTCGCACTCACCTGGCAGTAATGCTACTAGTAACGTTGGTTTCTGTGTATATACCATTTCCCTGCATTGTTATCTGGAAGGAACAGATTAATCTAGCAGCTCAGAATAAAAATCCAGTGTATTTTAATCATGAAAACCAAGTCCAACGTTTCCAAAGATTATCAAAGTGAATAAACCATGTTATGGTAAATGTTGTACCTTTCCTCCTCAAGCCCTGGGACTCTACTACGTATCTGTTGAATGACTGTTCAAGGGTTTTTTTTTTTAATTTTTTGAGACAGAGTTTTGCTCTGTCACCGAGGTTGGAGTGCAGTGGCGTAATCTCAGCTCACCACAACCTCCACCTCCCAGGTTCAAATGATTTTTGTGCCTCAGTCTCCCGAGTAGCTGGGATTACAGGCCTGCGTCACCACGCCTGGATAATTTTTGTATTTTTAGTGGAGACAGGGTTTCACCACGTTGCCCAGGCTGGTCTTGAACTCCTGACCTCAAGTGATCCACCCACCTCACCCTCCCAAAGTACTGGGATTACAGGCGTAAGCCACCACCCCCCGCTTCAAGTTTTGACTAATATTTACATATTCCATGCTGAGAATCGAAATGGAAAAGTTGCTCATTACTTTGTTTTTTCTTTTTCTGAGTTGGGATTTCACTGGCCATATTGGCCAGGCTGGTCTTGAACTCCCGGCTTCCAGTGATCCGCTCACCTCAGCCTCCGAAAGTGCTGGGATTATAGGTGTGAGCTACCATGCCTGGCCTAGTTGCTCATTACTCTGAAAGCCGAAATTCAAAGAACAACCAACCACCCCTATTGGGGCAGATCTTAACTGCAGACATCCCTCCTTTTCAAACAGCCTGAAGGGAAGCAAATGCAGAAAGTGGGCCTAATCTAAAAAGATAGAAAACACTCCTTCCCCTCATCCCCAAAAGATAGTAAGAAGGACTTTAAAAGCTAGCTGTGCCACAGGGTGGGGAACATCCCACACCGGGGCCTGTTGTGGGGTTGTGGGAGAGGAGAGGGACAGAATTAGGAGATATACCTAATGTAAATGACCAGTTAATGGGTGCAACACACCAACATGGCACATGTATACATATGTAACAAACCTGCACGTTGTACACATGCACCCTAGAACTTAAAAGTATAATTTAAAAAGAAAAAAAAAAAAAAAAAGGGCTCGCTGTGCCAGAGGCCAGCCTGAGCAACATAGCAAGACTCGGCCTCAAAAAAATTCCAGATTTCTCAGGACTAGTTCAATAATATAGATGGTACTACTTCCATGTCCAGGGACCTGTTCAGGCCACAAACAGAAGGGGGCATCTTTGGTGTTTTTCTGGCTCAGAGACTTGGGAGTCTATCCCCCTACATTCTCAGAGAGTCTGGAATAACCCCTCCCCAGCCTCAAAGAATACTACATTAATCAAATGAAAATGACAAAACATCCCTGGAATTCACTGAGGAACAAAGCTTATTTACAGCAATATCTTCAACACAATAGGTATGTAAATATCAGTTGCTACATTTAAGACTGATATATGGCCAGGAGCAGTGGCTCACGCCTGTAATCCCAGCACTTTGGGAGGATCACGGGAGGATCACGAGGTCAGGAGATCGAGACCATCCTGGCTAACGCGGTGAAACCCTGTCTCTACTAAAAATACAAAAAATTAGCCAGGCATGGTGGTGGGTACTTATAGTCCCAACTACTCAGGAGCCTGAGCCAGGAGAATGGTGTGAACCCAGGAGGGGGAGCTTGTAATGAGCCGAGATTGTGCCACTGCACTCCAGCCTGGGCAACAGAGCGAGACTCCATCTCAAAAAAAAAAAAAAAAAAGTAGAGGAACTAATCTGAGTTACTAAATACAAAACAGTAAGATAAAGCAGTGAGAAAGGTTACAGAATAAACTATTGTTGCCTTTTTTGCATTATTTTTCTTCCATCCAGAAGGAAACCAAACCCTGTAACTTCAAGTGTAATTCATTAGCAGCCAGGTGCAGTGGCTCGTGCCTGTAATCCCTCTGCTTTAGCAGGCCAAGGGAGGAGGACTGCTTGGAGTCAGGAGTTCAAGACCAGCCTGGGCAACACAGGGAGACCTATCTCTACAAAAATGCTTTTAAAAATTAGCTGGGCATAGCCAGGCACGTGGCTCACACCTGTAATCCCAACACTTTGGGAGGCCGGGGCGGGCGGATCACGAGGTCAGGAGATCGAGACCATCCTGGCTAACATGGTGAAACCCCGTCTCTATTAAAAATACAAAAAATTAGCCAGGCATGGTGGTGGGCGCCTGTAGTCCCAATTACTCGGGAGGCTGAGGCAGGAGAATGGCGTGAACCCGGGAGGCGAAGCTTGCACTGAGCTGAGAGTGCATCACTGCACTCCAATCTGGGTGACAGAGCGAGACTCCGTCTCAATCAATCAATCAATAAATCAATAAAAGAAAAAGAAAAAAATTAGCTGGGCATTGTGATGTGCACCTGCAGTCCTATCTACTCAGGAGGCTAAGGCAGGAGTATTGCTTGAGCATAAGAGTTGGAGGTTGCAGTGAGCTATGATCATGCCACCGTACTCCAGGATGGGCAACAGAGCGAGACCCTGTCTCTAAAAAAATAAACAATAGTTCACTACCTTACTTGACTCAATCTCACCAGAAGAAAAGACCAAAATAATACATATAAGCTACTAAACCATGTATCAATACACGAGATAAAGAAACATACAAAAGAAGAAAAGTAACTTAAATACACATTTAAGGCTGACCTACATGGAGAAACCCTACTCTACTGAAAACACAAAATTAGCTGGGCATGGTGGCGCATGCCTGTTATCCCAGCTACTCGGGAGGCTCAGGCAAAAGAATTGCTTGAACCCAGGGGGCAGAGGTTGTGATGAGCCAAGATCCCACCATTGCACTCCAGCCAGGGCAACAAGAGCGAAACTCCCGTCTCAAAAATAAAAATAAAAAATAAAAAATAAACAATAAAAATGAAAATAGGTTGGGCGCGGGGGCTTACGCCTGTAATCCCAGCACTTTGGGAGGCCGAGGCGGGCGGATCACTAGGTCCAGAGATCGAGACCATCCTGGCCAACGTGGTGAAACCCCAACTCCATTTAAAAATACAAAAATTAGCTGAGCCTGTAGTCCCAGCTACATGGGAGGCTGAGGCAGGAGAATCGCTTGAATCTTGGAGGCAGAGGTTGCAGTGAGCTGAGATTGCACCAGTGCACTCCAGCCTTGAGACAGAGCGAGACTCTGTCTCTAAATAAGTAAATAAATAAATAAAATGTGTAACCAGTGAAACCCCATCTCTACTAAAAATACAAAAAATTAGCCAGGCATGGTGGGGCTCCTGCCTATAGCCCCAGCTGCTCAGGAGGGTGAGGTGTAAGAATCACTTGAGCCCAGGATTTCGAGGTTGCAGTAAGTTAAGATCATGTCACCGCACTCCAGGCTGGGCAAGAGTGAGATACTGTCTCTTAAGAAAAAAAAAAAAAAAAAAAACAGTAGACAAAGGATCTAAAAAAACAATACACAAATGGCCAAAACGTACACAAAAAATGTTCATCATTAAACATCAACAAAATACAAAGAAAACCACAATGAGGTATCATCTTACCCCAGTTAGAACAGCTATTATCAAAAAGACAAAAAGTAGCCTGTAATCCCAACTACTGAGGTGGCTGAGACAGGAAGATTGCCTGAACCCAGGAGTTCAAGACTGCAGTGAGTTATGATCATGCCACTACATCTAATTAATTAAGCAAATTAAACAGATGCTGGTGAAGACACAGGGAAAAGGGAACTCTCATACACTACTGGTGGGAATATAAACTGGTGCAGCCATTTTGGAAAACAGTATGGAGATTTATCAAAAACAAAAAATTGAATTACCATATGATCCACCAATCCCATTACTGGATATTTATACAAAGAAAAGGAAACCAATAGTGCTTCATAGTTGCCAGGTTGGGGTGGCTGTGGCAATTTCTCTTCTTTCTAAATTTTTAACTTTTTACTGATACACAATATTTAAACACATTTATGGGGTACATGTGGTACTTTGCTACATGCAGAGAATACATAATTATCAAGTTGTGGTATTTAGGGTATCCGTTACTATGAGCGTTTATCATTTCTATGTGTTGAGAACTTTTCAAGTCCTCACTTCTAGCTATTTTGAAGTGAAACACTATTCACAATATTCACAAATACAGAGAATCAACCTAAGTGTTCATCAACAGATGAATGGATTTCAAAAAGTGATAAATTTACACGTTGGAATACTATTCAGTCATAAAAGAATGAAATGATGTCCTCTGGAGCAACATGAATGGACCTGGAAGACACTGTATTAAATAAAATAAACCAGACACAGAAAGACAAATATCACACGTACTCACTCACATGGGAGCTAAAAAAGTTATCTCATGCAGGTAAAGAGTGGAAAAGATAGTTACCAGAGGGAGAGAAGGTGATGGGTATAGAGGGTGGGGAATAAAGAGAGATTGGTGGATAGGTTAAAACACAGAAGGAATAAATTCTAGGCCGTGCTCGGTGGCTCATGCCTGTAATCCCACCACTTTGGGAGGATTAGGCGGCTGGATCACTTGAGGCCAGGAGTTTGAGACCAGACTGGTCAACATGGTAAAACCCCATGTCTATCAAAAATACAAAAATTAGCTGGGCATGGTGGAATGCACCTATAGTCCCAGATACTCAGGAGGGTAAGTGGAAGGATTATTTGAGCCCAGGAGGGAGAGGTTGCAGTTAGCTGAGATGGTGCCACTGCACTCCAGCCTGGGTGACAGAGTAAGACCCTGTCCCAAAAAAAGGGAGTAAGTTCTAATGTTCAACAGTAAAGTAAGGTGACTACTTAACAATTACGTATTATACACTTCAAAATAGCTGGAAGTGAGGACTACAGCAAAAAGACTACAACTCACTGAAGGCTCAAATGAACATAGCCTTTTTTAGCAATAAAGTATTTTTAAAGTAAGGTTTTAAAAACCCTATTGCATTGTATTCCAAATGTAATACAATTATAATTTGTCAATGCTTTTGGTTAGAGCTTTAAGTTTTAAATTATTCATAGAAAGGGCTTTCTCAGCTCATCCAAAAACAACCCTTTGGTTTCTTCAAAACTACGTAACACAAAATAGTTCATTTACAGGCATCAGTAAACAAATGATCAGATTTTAAGACGACCTGTCATTCTTTCCGAACACACTGCTATCCCTAGTCAGAGTCCAGCAAAGCAACCGCCTGCTTCTTCCTCCTAATTGAAAGCATTTTCTTCTCTCTTACTCTAGCTTACCTCTACCTCGGGCTCGCTTGCCACGATCTGAAGGTTTGTCCACTTGATTGCAATCAATTCCATTTTCTTCACCTCTAACTAGGGGGAAAAGAGCAGAAAAATCAAATTTCCATTTCCAAACCTCTTGTACGTAACCTTACCAAGCACCTATTAAAGGCAAAGAAGGAATGACAAACAGGCTACAATTTAAACAACGGGTTCAGAAACAGGAAAAACAAAAACATAAGTGACTTAAAAACTGAATGAGGTCAGGCACAGTGGCTTACACTTGTAATTCTAGCACTTGTAATTTCCAGCTGAGGGGGGCAGATCTCTTGAGCTCAAGAGCTTGAGACCAGCCTGGGCGACACACAAAAAAAATACAAAAATTGGCCAGGCGCAATGGCTCATACCTATAATCCCAGCACTTTGGGAGGCTGAGGCAGGCGGATCACTTGAGGCCAGGAGTTTGAGACCAGCCAGGCTAACACAAGGAAACCTCGTCTCTACCGAAAAATATAAAAATTAGCCGGGTGTGGTGGCGTGTACCTATAGTTCCAGCTACTCGAGAGGCTAAGGCAGGAGATTGCTTGGACCCAATAGGCAGAGGTTGCAGTGAGCCGAGATCTCCTCACTGCACTCCAGTCTGGGCAAGTGAGCAAGACTCTGTCTCAGTAAAAATACAACATATAAAATACAAAAAATATGAAAATCAGCCAGGCGTGGTTGTGATGGCGTGCAGCTAGTAGTCCCAGCTACTCAGGAGGCTGAGGTGGGAGGATCACCTGAGCCCAGGGAGGTCAAGGCTGCAGTGAGCTGTGATCACGCCACTGCACTTCAGCCTGGGTGGAAGAGTAAGACCTTGTCTCAAAAAAAGAAGTAAAAAAAAAAAAAAAAAAAAAAAAAAAAAAAAGAGAGAGAAAAAGAAATCACATCTTCCTTAATTCACATGAAAATTCTGAAAACAAATTAAAATAACATATTGATTTTTCTTTCTTCTTTGTGGACTTGCTGTGAAGTTTTTGCTTCAAAAAAACTACCTCCATTATGCAACTATGTTAATATATCACAGAATTTGATCATTAGTTACGTTCAAAGCCTGGAAAGGCACAGAATAGCAAAATAGTAATACCAAGGAAACACTGAGTTCTTAGAAAAACTAAAGTGTTAGAATTGGGTTTTTCTAGAATACTAACCGGAAGATGCAACTCGCAGTCTTTTCTTTTTCTCATCCCTATATTGGCATTAATAGCTCTATATAATACAGAAATTTCATAAACGATATTGGAATGGCTTGCTCCCCTCACCTCTGTCAGAGGTTGACTTACATAAATTCCAGTGAGGCTTTCCTTGGCAACCCACTTACATTTGCCAGACCTCTTCCCATAATTTGCATCTCTCTTTCTGCCTTTGTCTTTCCCTATAACATAATTTCTACATAACACCATTAAAATATATTAATATAAAATATTTTATCCTTTATTGTTACATCCCATTTGACCTTCTTTAAAATATAAGTTTTAGAAGGGCAAAGATTTTACCTATTTTATTCAATGCTGCATGCCTATAAAAGTATCCACTACACAGTAGATACTCAATAAATATCGGTGGAATATATGAGACAGCAAGAGTCTCTAGAGTGATATGTTAAATATTTACATTTTATTCTTTCATAACTTAGCTACACTGACACACTGCCAGAGCAGACAGGGTTGTTTTGCATAAACAGTGACAAAACCTAGAAAACCTAGGTCTAATGGAAATGAGACCTGCCTATGAGAAATCCTGCCTATTCAGCAACTTTTCTCTTAATCTAACTCTTGTCTGCCTATGAGAAATCCTGCCTATTCAGCAACTTTTCTCTTAATTTAACTCTTGTCTGCCTATGAGAAATCCTGCCTATTCAGCAACTTTTCTCTTAATCTAACTCTTGTCTATACCATGAGTCTCTATAAATGGAGAAGAAAAAAACAGCTTTGTCTACCTGTAAGTAAATGACCCCTGGCCCCTTCTTTGCCACACACACACAATTCTAAAATTAACGAATGTGTCTGCCTTATAACAGAAGGCAGTCATAAGACACACTACACAACCACCTGCCTATAGCCCAGGTCAGTGTTGATATGAAACCACATGGGAGGCTCTTATGAAACTACTCAGGTGCCACTCATTTCTAGTGTTAACTATTAGAACAAATTCTGCATTGAGGAAACAAATTTATGAGCATGCTATGGACTAATCTTTCAGTTGTTCAGAATGTAAGGAAACTCCTAAGAAAAAATTTGAGAAAGCTGAGCGCAGTGGCTCATGCCTGTAATTCCAACACTTTGGGAGGCTGAGACAGGAGGGTCACTCGAGACGAAAGAAGAGAAGAGAAAAAACTGAGGAGAAAGTCTGTACTTACATTCTCTGCCACGATTGCCACCTCTTCCTTTCCGGTTGTTTCCACGTCCACGACTTGACTCTTTCTCGCTTTTCTTCTCTCTATTCTCTTTGTTTTCTGAATTTTCTTTTGCAAAATTCTTTTTCTTCCCCCCTACGGTCTCCCATGAAGTCTATCAGAGAGAACGGCTGTTAATCATTTATCATTCCAAGTGTGTATAATTATCAAGGGCACATGCATGTATCTTTCTTTTTTTATTATTATTATTATTTTTTTGAGATGGAGTCTCGCTCTGTCGCCCAGGCTGGAGTGCAGTGGTGTGATCTCGGCTCACTGCAAGCTCCGCCTCCCAAGTTCACGCCATTCTCCTGCCTCAGCCTCCCGAGTAGCTGGGACTACAGGCGCCCGCCACAGCGCCCAGCTAATTTTTTGTATTGTTAGTGGAAACAGGGTTTCACCGTGTTAGCCACGATGGTCTCGATCTCTTGACCTCGTGATCCGCCCTCCTCGGCCTCCCAAAATGCTGGGATTACAGGCGTGGGCCACCGCGCCCAGCACATGCATGTATCTTTCAAATCTAACTACCCACAGCTTGCAGCTCACCTGCTTATCATTTATTTCCATATAGTTCTACTTTCTTGATGATAAAGATAACAATCTTCTTGCTAAGCTCCTGTTGCTAAATAATTACAGCTATTAGCTGACCTGACAAAATACTGTACATTTTCCCAACATACAGCCCTTTCCTATGCAAATTTAGGAATACAGTAAATGTCATTTCCCCAAGCTCCTATTCTACACCACCTCAGTTATCTCTCTATTAGGCCTTAAATCTACGTATTAATTCAAAGACCACAAAATTACTTAGAATGATGTCCCAAAAGCTCCAGGAATACAACCTTGCCTGTTCCATTATTCAAACTAATTATCTAAAACAATGTAATGGCAGATAAGTAAAATTTTAGCTTGGTTTTGGTGGGCTTTTTAAAAATTTTAAAAGTACTTAAAATTTTAACCTCCAAAGAATTATTCTAGTGAGAAGTCAAATAATTTATATAACCTCCCTTCTCCACCTCTTCCCGAATGGTGATACCAAACCTAATCATATCATATACATACAAATTGCTGAGAAAAGAAAGATACTACATTCTTGACTATAAGTGGATATAAAAATTATCAAGCAGGGTAGTTACAGAGAAATCCTAAAATTAGCCCAATAGTTTCTATTTACTTATTCATAACCTGCCTTATTTCAGAAGGGATTTGAAATGACTCCATCCAAAATTAAGAGTAGCAACTATTTTATGCTTTTTAAAAATCTTATGAAAAAACAAAATTTGACATTGTATATCCAAACTAAACATTAGCACTGGAAATTAATAAACTAAAATTTGGGTGATAAGCTGAATTATTTCCATAACAGTGGAAGCTAACTTCCAAACACTTTTTTGAAATGGAATATTTGGTCTTCTGCAAAGTTCTGATGAACTCACATATTTAATTAGATATAAAATGGATATGAACAAGATATAAATTATTTTCCACCTCTAAGTTTTGATAATGAAGATTGAATATACTGACACCTGATAGTTAAGGTGAAACAATCAGGTATTATCACACAGTTCTGGTGAGCATGCATCTATTTTAACTTTTCTAGAAGGTTACTTAGCAATAGTACCTCAAAATTTTATTTTTTTTGAGACAGAGTCTCACTCTGTCACCCAGACTGGAGTGCAATGGCGCGATCTCGGCTCACTGCAACCTCCACCTCCTGGGAACAAGTAATAACTCCTGTCTCAGCCTACCGAGTAGCTTGGATTACAGGCATACACCACCACACCCAGCGAATTTTTGTAATTTTGGTAGAGACGGGGTTTCACCATGTTGGCCAGGCTGCTGTCGAACTGCTGACGTCAGGTGATCCACCTACCTTGGCCTCCCAAAGTACTGGTATTACAGGCGTAAGCCACTGCGCTTGGCCTAGTACCCAAATTTTATTTGGTGCATACTCTTTCAACCCAGCAATTCTACTTCTAGGCCCTTATTCAGACAAAATAATGTGTCCAAGCACACTGGCTCATGCCTGTAATCCCAGCACGTTGGGAGTCCAAGGCAGGCAGATCACTTGAGGCCAGGAGTTGGAGACTATCCTGGCCAACATGGTGAAACTCCATCTCTACTAAAAATAGAAAAATTAGCTGGGAGTGGTGGCAGGCACCTGTAATCCCAGCTACTCGGGAGGGTGAGGCAGGAGAATCACTTGAACCTGGAAGGCTTGATCCTAGGAGGTGGAGGCTTCAGTGAGCCAAGATCATACCACTTCTCTCCAGCTTGGGTGACAGAGCGAGACTCTGTCTCAATTACAATAACGTAATAATTGTTCAAACATTTACGTGCGGACAAAATGATCAACAGCATAAAAGGAGGGGAGGGGGATTCCCAAAATATCAAGTTCAGGAGACTAAGTAGTCTAGCGTATCCATAAATGGGGCAGTACACAGCCATTTTACCAGTTATATAGGTACATACAGGAAGAGGTCCTTGATAGAAAAAGCAAGCTATCAGCAAACAGCATATAGAATTACATTTTTTAGTTCAAATAGAAGCCTATGTACTTACTAAAGGAAGTGGTATAAGTCATTATCTAAGTGAGGATGTTTAATTTGATGTAATCTTATATTTTTCTTTCTTTCTTTTTTTTTTTTTTTTTTTTTTTGAGACGGAGTCTCGCTGTCCGCCAGGCTGGAGTGCAGTGGCCGATCTCAGCTCACTGCAAGCTCCGCGCGTCCGGGTTCCACGCCATTCTCCTGCCCTCCGCCTCCGAGTAGCTGGGACTACAGGCGCCGCCACTGCGCCCGGCTAGTTTTTTGTATTTTTTAGTAAGAGACGGGGTTTCACCGTGTTAGGCCAGGATGGGGTCTCTGATACTGCTCTGTGATCCGCCCGTCTCGGCCTCCCAAAGTGCTGGGATTACAGGCTTGAGCCACCGCGCCCGGCCCGTAATCTTATATTTTTCTGTAATTACTTTCTAATTAAACAATAAAGCTTATCTATGCCAGAGAAAATAATGCCCATACTGCACAAACTCAATTTATTATGTTTGCTAATATGAAAAGACGAGACAACTGTGTAAAACAGAATCCAGTCCTCTTAGGTTATAATACAAAAAGTAAATTCCAGAGGTCCTGGAAAAATCATCCCAGAAGAGTTGGCATAAAGTGTTATGTATACGCAATGTATATCTTTACACAGCCTCGCCTAAAGGTACTCTATCTTTATAAAGGGGCCAACTGTCTTTGTAAAACACCTGAGAAACACTTTACCCCACTTCATATAGCAAATGATACCCTGGCCAGGCACAGTGGCTCACACCTGTAATCCCAGCACTTTGGGAGCCCAAGGTGGGCAGATCATGAGGTCAGGAGTTCCAGACCGACCTGGCCAACATAGTGAAACTCCATCTTTACTAAACATACAAAAATTAGCAGCCAAGCGCAGTGGCTCATGCCTGTAATCCCAGCACTTTGGGAGACTGAGGCGGGCAGATCACTTGAGGTCGGGAATTCAAGACCAGCGTGACCAACATGGAGAAATCCCATCTCTACTAAAAATACAAAATTAGCTGGGCGTGGTGGCGCATGCCTGTGATCCCAGCTACTTGGGAGGCTGAAGTGGGAGAATCGCTTGAACCCGGGAGGCAGAAGGTTGCGGTGAGCCAAGATATTATACTCCAGCCTGGGCAACAAGAGCAAAACTCCATCTCAAAAAAAAAAAAAAAAATTAGCCAGGCATGGTGGCAGACGTCTGTAATTCCCAGCTACTCAGGAGGCTGAGGCAGGAGAACTGCTTGAACCTGGGAGGCAGAGGTTGAGGTTGCAGTGAGCTGAGATCATGCCAATGCACTCCAGCCTGGGTGACAGAGCAAGACTCCATCTCAAAAAAAATAAAAATAAAAAAAAGACACCCTCCCCATCCTGCTGCCCCTCAAGCAAAGTCTTGGTTTATGAGATCTACAAAGACAACTTATTTGAGGGTGGCAAATAGGGAAAAGAACCTTTAAGAAGCAATCTTTACAATACCATAGTAACTGCTAAAAAGATTACTGTGTATTTTGCAGAAGTCTGCAAAGCATGCACACATGCATACTTTGAAAAGTCAACCAAGTAATTATAGAGGATTTCCAAGAGAATTTCTGGCAACGTCTGTTATCGGTATTTTTGTAGAATGGGTCTGAAGAAAAAGAGGAGAGGTCCTCCCAGTCACCATGTAATAATCAGAACAGCAGTCTTCAAAGCCAGCTAGTTCAAAAATTACTCTCCCACCACTTTGCCTTTGCCAAAAACTACCAACACAAACAACTTACTAAAAACAGTAAGTACATTAATGCAAGAGACTAATACTTCAAAACAATTTTGTCACACCAACCAAACATTATGATGAAACAAAAAGTTCAGTACTTGTGTTCAATATCTTCCTTTGTGACAGACATACTTACATAAGAAAAAATAAACTTATCCTTAAAAATATCACGGACGATTCCACTTAATACCTTTTCCAAGTGATAATTTTGTTTCAGAAGACTTTGGCACAGAGGAAGGTTAGAATCGTTTGCCTTCATGCTCTTGCTCCTAGCAACATCACAGTGTTTATATTCTGTCAACTCTACTCCAATTAACTCTATCTCAGTCAAGGGAAGATAATCAAAGCCATTTAGCCATGGGTGCTGCAGACGGCAACCAGGTAAGAGATGAGGCAAACAGTATGAGAGACAAGATGTACCAGAGAATGGTCCTCAACAAACCAGGGTTTCAAAGACTTCCTCCAGCCTGAGCAACATAGAAACACAGAGAGACTCTATCTCTACAAAATATAAAAATAATTAGCCAAGTGTAGTGGCATGTGCCTGTGGTCTCGGCTACTCGGCAGGCTGGAGGATGGCGTAAGCCCGGGAGGTCGAGGCTGCAGTGAACCATGATGGCACCACTCTACTCTAACCTGGGCAATGGAGTGAGACCCTGTCTTAATAAAAAAAACCCAAAACACCAAACAACTAAAACAAAGACTTTCCCTCTACTTCTGTATTTCCCCCACAGCCCACTCAGCCCCGAACAAGTGTATTCTTTCACAACTATAGTCAGAACTTCATCTATTTTCTTATCTTTGAAGAAAACAAAAGTCAGATATAGCCCACACTATAAAATTGTTCAAGAGGTAACCAAAAAGACATTCACGAAAAATTCAGCTTTACTTTTTTTTTTTTTTTGAGACCGAGTCTCGCACTGTCGCCCGGGCTGGAGTGCAATGACGCGATCTCGACTCACTGCAACCTCCGCTTCCTAGGTTCAAGCGATTCTCCTGCCTCAGTTGCCTGAGAGGCTGGGATTACAGGCACCTACCACCACACTTGGCTAATTTTCTGTATCTTTAGTAGACATGGGGTTTTGCCATGTTGGCCAGGCTGGTCTCGAACTCCTGACCTTGTGATCCACCCACCTCGGCTTCCCAAAGTGCTGTGATTACAGGTGTGAGCCACCGCGCCCAGTCAGCCTTACTTTCTAATACATAGCCTAGAAGCACCTCCTTCAGGTTCTGTCCCAAATGAGGAGGGGGTGTTAAAACTCAAAACAGAAAGAGAAAACTGGACATTTAAGACTTAAAAATTCACCTAACTACCAGAGAAAAGGAATTAAATCTGCTGCAGCTAAAGGAAAGGCAACAAAAATTAGTGTCCGGACTTACCTGTGCCATAAAAAGATCCAAAAAGATCCCCTCCAGTGAACAATTTGGATTATTTTGTTTATTCCCAAAGATTTTTCTTTTTCTTTTTTTTTTTTTTTATTAAACGAAGAGGGCAGTTAGGCTCTTCAGTTCACTTTGAAAATAACTGAAAGCCATGCTCTGCTGTATCCATTAGCAATAAGGTAAACAGATCCTCCATATTTTGCAAAACCCAGGATACTTATTCCCAAGTCAGTAAACCAAAATTATTCAAAATTTTAATTTATCATTTAACATGGTTTTCCTCCCCAAAAAAATCACAAATTTAGTGGCTTGTCTTGTGTATCAGTGTTCTCCTACATGGAATTTTACCAACAATTACTGCTACACTCAAACAGTGAAATCTTTTCCACATTAGTTAATTTTTACTGTAAAAGAATTCATTCTCTTTGTTTCACATCAACTAAAAATACAGTCATTTTAGCTTTCAGTTTCTCACAGTTCAGTTTTGTATTTCTTGTACCTAATGCAGCATGACCCTAAAATGAGACTTCAATTAAATCTGAACACTGACACGATCAGTTTGTTTGTTTTAAATTTTCCAAGGAAAAGCAGTTATTGATGTGTTCATCTTTGTATCCTCTTTTAGGTGAGTCATTATTTGTTTTAATCTACTCTAAAATAGTTTCCTCAATTTAAGAAATATAAACACAGGCCAGGTGTGGTGGCTCACACCTGTAATCCCAACACTTCGGGAGGCCGAGGCGGGTGGATCACCTGGAGGTCAGGAGTCCGAGATCAGTCTGACCAACATGGCAAACCCCGTCTCCTACAAAAACAAAATAGCCAGATTGTGGTGGCGGCATGTCTGTAGTACTAGCTACCTGGGAGGCCGGGGCAAGAATCACTTAACCCCAGGGATGAAGGGTTGTAGGTGGAGTCAAGATCGCTGATAACTGCACTCCAGCCTTGGGTGGCAGTGTGAAGTTCCGTTCAAAAAATAATAAAATAAAATATACCTATATATATTATATAAATCATATTATATAACTATTTAATATAAATACGATACACACAGAGAGGCATGGTTTTTAGGGCTGACAAGCTGCCTGGTGTAGCTTTAGTGCATCCCTTCTTAAATCACGGCCTGGCTCATGGAGCTGGCAAGCTTACCAAACTAACCCATATTCAAAAAAAGAAAAAAGGCCAGTGGTGGTGGCTCCACACCCTGGATCTCCGACTTTGGTGGAGGGGGCCGGGTGGGGCAGATCGCGAGGTCAGGAGATCGAGAACCATCTTAACATGGCTAACAGGTGAACCTCGATCTCTACTAAAAAATACAAAAACTTAACCGGGCGCGTATCTGTAGTCCAGTACGTGGGACGGCTGGAGGGACGGAGGAATGTGTGAAACCAGGAGGGGAGGCTTGCAAGTGGATTGCCGGAATCACGCCCATGGCAGCTCCACGGCCCTGGGTGGCAGAGTGGAGGACTCCTGTCTCAAAAAAGTAAGATTTACGAAGCCGGCGCCGGCGGGTGGGCTCAAAGCGCGTAATCCCGCACTATTGGGGCGAGCACGGGGGCGGATCACGGAGGGTCAGGAGGAGTCGAGGAACATTTCCTGGCCTATACATGGTGGAACACCGCGTCTCTGACTGAAAGGAAATACAAAGAAAAAACGTTCGGCGGCGAGGTGGTGGCGCCTTTCAGTGCCAGCTTACTCGGAGGCTGAGGCAGGGAATGGGCTCAACCCGGGACCCGCGGGGCGGAGCTTGCAGTGAGCGAGATCCGGCACTGGACTCGGACGCTGGGCGACAGAGTAAGACTCCGTCTCAAAAAAAAAAAAAGAAAAAAAAAATTAAAATAAAATAAAATAAAACAAAGCAAAATAAAAAATAAAGAAAACTTAATATTCCACATAAGCAAATACATATACCAGCAATCCTGGTTTTCTGTTATGCTAGAGATGTAAGAAGTAATTAGAGGTGAGTACTGAGATGAAGAAACATAAGCAACAGAGCCAAGAGATGCTTTTCAGGTGAGGGTGGTGAAAATACACACAGGTCCAGAGATTTTTGGAAACTGTAAGGCTGGAGTAGATCACCAAGTTCTCCTTCAAGTCTTCAGATTCTATGACTTCATGAAGAAACCACACATACCAAAAACAGTCTTTTCAGGTAATCGTTCTTTCTGGAACTTAAAACAAATATGGAATGGCACCATAATCCATTCCATCCCCACCCCCAACCAAGGTGAAGTTGAAAATGTGCTATGGAATTGTAGACAAATGTAAACAATGCAAATCAATTAATAATACTTACTGTGTCTGAATTCCCTTCCAGCAATATATTGATAGCTTTGTTCACATCTCCATTACAATCATGTAGGGCCACTATGCATTCATCCTGATTTTTCCCTGTCACTTCCATAAGCTAGTGAATATATCAGAAAATGGTTAGAGGCAACCAAAAACTGGCACTTGATGTTAATATTAAGACTCTTCTATACAAATACAGAATTACATAATCCTTCTACATGAAGATAGCCTCTTCTAGACCCTGAGTTTACAATGAAGACACGTTTTATTTTTTTTGTGGCCATTCCATGCATGTCCTTTCACTAACACTGGTAGAATTTAACTAAAAATCAATCTTCCTCCAAGTTGACCAAGGAGCAGATCATTAATCAGCAGCACATACATACGTACCAACATTCTCAGAATACCCAAGATCAGGTATCTGAATAATCAAATTTAATTCAAGGACACAGGATTCCTAAACTTAAATATGAGGTGGAACTATATGAGTACATGGTCACCATTCATGGAAAATCCAATACAAATTTTTTGTCAGGGACAATATTCCACATATTGGCTTTCACCATTTGGATTAGAACACTTCAAAGGCCAGCCGCAGCAGCTCACGCCTATAATCAACACTTTGGGAGGCAGAGATGAGAGAATCACTTGAGCCCAGAAGTTCGAGACAAGCCTGGGCAATATAGTGAGACCTCATCTTTACAAAAATTTAAATGAGCGTGGTGGTAGGAGGATCGCTTCAGCCCTGGAGGTGAAGGCTGCAATAAGCCATGATTGTGCCACTGTACTATAGCACAGGAGACAGAGACAGACTCTCTCTCCCCACCAAAAAAAGAAAAAAAAAATCATTCCATATACATACTAAGTTACATAACACCCTAAAGTCTTACTAGTGGAATTCTGCTACTATCACAAAACACACTCCTAGACATATTATTTTCTCAAGGATCTTCAACACGGTGCTATGCTTGAAGTAATGATGAAAGAAACTCTTCAGTTTATCATCATTAGCAAGGGATACTTGTTACTTAGTGTTTTCATCACTAGAACAATCACAGACTAGGGAAAATGCAGGTTTCTCAAGTATCAGTGAATAAACCTATGATTTAATATCTATTGCATTTTAACTACATTTAACTATTTTAGTATGTACTAGTTGAAGTTCAAAATAGCTTGATCCCAACATATCAAGTGATTTGTCTATGGTCACAAAGGTAATTAATAGCAAAGCTCATCTAGAACCCAGGCCTCCTCATCTCATAGTCACAGCTCTCTGCACTATACCATTTGGCCTCTCTGCTTTCATCTTTTCATTTTATCAAGCAGCAAAAGTTCTGCATACTCTATAGCTTTCTGACGCTTCAGTCTTTGGATAGCTACTAATAAAAGTCTCATTTTTATCAATGATCTGTACTAAGTGAATGCCTGCAACATACAATTTTTAAGACATACAGTCAGCATCAAAATTACCCCAGTGGTCAGATTACTGACAGAACTAAAGTTGGAACTTAAATCTTTGAACTCCTGGGCCAATGCTCTATCTATACTATTCAGATAAAAGGCGATGTACTATATATAAGTGTATCTCAAACTGTATGAAGATCTCATTCCAGAGAAGGAAATCTATGATTTCTTGTGAGACAAGACAAGATTTCATTGTGAGACATTTACTCCAAAGAACAATTATTAGATGACATCTACTAAGAGTAGGAATATCTGGCACTGAGATAGGGGTTACAGCTTCGTTTCTAGAATCTTGATAAGAAACAAAGTCAGCAAAGTAGAGTTGGAAATTAAGATTAAGTTATCAAAAATACCTCTTATTAAAGTTTGAAATGAAGACATTGCCCTAAAATTTAATTTTATATTTTTCCAACGAGAGTATGAAATCACAACCATGTCTGAAATGGCAATTCAGGCCAGCAATCCTGTAATCCCAGCACTCTGGGAGGCCAAGGCAGATTGCTTGAGCCCAGGAGTTCAAGACCAGTCTAGGCAACATTGCAGGACTCTGTCTCTACAAATATTTTAAAAATTAGCTGGGCATGGTGATGAACATCTGTCATCATAGCTACTCAGGAGACTGAAGCAGCAGGATAGCGTGAGCCTAGGAGTTTGAGGCTGTAGTAAACTACGATAGCACCACTGCACTCCAGCCTGGGCAATAGAGCGAGATCATGTCTCTATGAAAAGAAATTTTTTAAAAGGTAATTCAGTTCATCCCTAACATTAAACAAAATTCCCAGAGACTGTGCCAAATGTTAGATATACTTTCTATGTATATACGTATAGGAAAATCTCAGTGTGCTTACAGAAATGTCTGGTTCAATGTTCACATGTAAACACTAATAACTCAGAAAGATTGTATTGTAAGGTAGGTGAACGTATTCAATTATTTTGCTTGCCCACCAATAAAGGTATTTAATCACAAGTCCAAAATCCAATACACAGATTTCAGGTGAGACTAGAAGCTAGAAGTAATACTTTAAAACAAAAATCTTTACTGAAATTATCTCTTTAAGCACAATCCAAACAGATCACAAAAATGATGATATCCTTTGCCAGAAACATACCTGCTTAACTTTAGCTTCAAAATCTGAATCATTCTTATCAAAGATCACTTGAGCAAGACGCATCTGTTCAGCTGTTGCCTGGAAAGTACATACAATTGTTAAGGATTTGAAAACCAAAAGCTTAAGTTAGATTCCAAAATCTGGGTCAAACAGTTAAGGCTCTCAAGCACTAGAAACACTAAGTAAAAACAAATAAAAGACCCTGAATTTAGGCCTCTCAACCTGTTCCCATAGGAAAAATAAGCATCAAATTAAGTAACATAAAGGACCTATTCCTTTGACCAAATGACCTAAAGTTATTGTTCATCTTAACTGGCCATATGACTTATTTGAATTTTCTTTCCCTTGGCAGGGTCGGGGAAATCAGCTCAAAAGAAAGCAGAAGAACAAAAAATAATGAAATCTTTTTGGCCAGGCATGGTGGCTCATGTCTTTGGGAAGCCAAGGTAGAAGAATTGCTTGAGCCCAGGAGTTTGAAACTAGCCTGGGCAACACAGAGAGACCCTGTCTCTATTTAATTTTTTAAAAGATTTAAAAAAAAAAAAAAAAGGCTTAAAAATTAATGAAATCGTTAGAGGTAGTTGGTAGGCAAAAAATAATAAAAGAAAAATTAAAAGGTAACGCAAACAACTGCCCAGACACAGGCTTAGAACTAGACTTTGTGTCAACAAAGCTGTTGTCAGGTCTAAAAAGGTATGCTGGTTAGTTCTGAAGGAAAAAAAGCTGTATTTAGCTAAACTAAAAATATTTTTAAAGTTACTTTATCTTTTTTTTAATACACAATAATTTTGTTTTTCTAAGAGACAGGGTTTCACTATGTTGCCCAGGCTGGTCTTGAACTCCTGGGCTCAAGTGATCCTCCAACCTCACCCTCCCAAAGTGCTAGGATTACAGGCCTGAGTCACTGCATCTGGCAAAAGTTACCCTCCTCACAATTTTTTTTTTTTTTTTTTTTAAGATGGAGTCTCGTGCTGTTAGCCCAGCTGGAGTGCAGTGCCGCGATCTTGACTCTGCAACCTCCACCTCCCAGGTTCAACTGATTCTCCTGCCTCAGCGTCCAGAGTAGCTGGGACTACAGGCATGCACCACCATGCCCAGCTAGTTTTTGTATTTTTAGTAGAGACGGGGTTTCACCATGTTGGCCACACTGGTCTCAAACTCCTGGCCTCAGGTGATTCACCTGCCTCGGCCTCCCAAAGTGCTGGGATTACAGGCGTGAGCCACCATGCCCAGCCTAAATCACAATTTCTTAAAGTTTTTATTTACATATTTATTTAATTTTTAAAGGTAGGGTGTCATTCTGTCCCCTCAGACTGCAATGCAGTGATGCCATCATAGCTCACTGCAGCCTCCAACTCCTGACTTCAAGAGATCCTGCTGTCTCAGCCTCCCATGTAGCTTGGATTACAGGTGTGCACCACCACATCTGGCTAGTTGCAGAAAACTTACTTCCAGTTACTTTTGTCACTCAAAATATTTTTTCGATCACATTACTAAGTTTCGTTTTCTGATGTTTTTAGCAACAAAAAATCAGAAAAGTTCTAAAGCAAGTTATTCATTTGTGGAGTGATTTTGCAATGTGCCAGTCTAGTTTCTTAGTTTTAACAAAGGTACTGTAATTATTACAACAGGGAAATTAGGTGAGGAATATACAGGAACAATCTGTATCATCCCTGTACAACAGTCTACTAAATCGAAAATTACTCCAAAATAGTTTAAGTTGCCTCGTTAACCAAGTCTATACTAACTCCCAACATAAATATTTAAAAAGCTGAACAGGGCCGGGCGCGGTGGCTCAAGCCTGTAATCCCAGCACTTTGGGAGGCCGAGACGGGCGGATCACGAGTTCAGGAGATCGAGACCATCCTGACTAACACGGTGAAACCCCGTCTCTACTAAAATACAAAAAAAATTAGCCGGGCGAGGTGGCGGGCGCCTGTACTCCCAGCTACTCGGGAGGCTGAGGCAGGAGAATGGCGTGAACCCGGGAGGCGGGGCTTGCAGTGAGCTGAGATCCGGCCACTGCACTCCAGCCTGGGCAACAGAGCCAGACTCCGTCTCAAAAAAAAAAAAAAAAAAAAAGCTGAACAGTTTACAAAAAGATCTTAGAGGAAAAAAAGCCATAAGGAACTAATAGACAGCTTTTATTCTCAGTTTTTTATATACACTCATTTCAAACAATCTTGACTAAGTGGGATAAGGGGGAGTTGTTGACATTTTTTGCATTTTAAAGCACTTTTCAAAAGGCCTTTCCAGGCCATGTGGGTGGGTGATTATACAAATTCCAGGTGCTTTGGCCTGTTCATCCCAACCTATGCCTGCTGAGACCTCAGTTTAACTGCCGCAGTACTGCTACATTATACCCAGAAAGACACTGGTACAGAAATTCAATGTCTACACTTATTAAAAATTACCACAATTGTTCCCTGTACATGTAAGGACCTTACATATACTCTCACTATCCCTAAATCAGACAATCATTTTCCTGAACCATAACAACCAAGAAATCCCAGTGCCACAGCCAAGAGCACCAATGTCGTGATAACTAGATGAAGTAAAAGGGAAAAGCAAAGCAAGAGATGAGTTTTTAAAAGATGGCATTTCCACATTACACATTTGGGTTTGGAGTAATGGTAACTTGTTATGAACTGTTAAAGTCAAAAATATAGAGAGAAACAAATCTCTAAGTAAAAAAGGTTTTATTTGGGAAGAATATATAAGTAGGATTACAATCCAGGACATACATACATACATAATAGGGTGGCCTCCAGTGTGTCCAAACAAGGTTGGGAGTTTTATTAGAAAAATAAACATGACCTAGTTTTGAAAGAAAACTCACTGGAACTACTAAAGCTTTCGGGAGCTGGTAAGCTCTGATTGGTGAGTGAAGACGGTTGGTAAAACCAGACTTAGAGTCACAAGAGTTCATCTCAACAGCTAGTAGGTAAAACTGGATTTAAGGTTACAGCACGTCATTGGGGCAGCTGGCTTGCAATATAATCCCTGGGCAAGCGCTTTGTGCCCCAAGCACTTTTTTACCATAACCCTTGGTCCACTGACTCTAAATTTAGTTGGGTATGACAAGATAACTCCAATTCATATAATCAGTTTTCACAAAATGAAAGTAGACTGTTGGTGTCCCTGCTGCAAGAAGCCTATATGAAGAGTTTGCCTGTTTTCCCTAATACTATTATTTTCTGCTCCCAGTGTTTCAAACCTAAAAAATGTACCGTACTCATTATCCAGCAGATTCAGGTAGCCTTGTTCCAATACAAGCACCACTGATGTTCATCCCTTCCCATCATTAAAGTTTCTTAAATTATAAGCTTTACATATCAAACACAAGAAAAATTGAAAAATCCATAAGGTGACCATCTAACACCAAAACTATTTATGTATTTGGTATTCATATTTTTTTCATTAAAAAACAAACAAACAAAAAAAAAAAACAGGGTTTCACTCTGTGGCCTAGGTTGGAATGCTGTGGCACAATCACAGCTCACCAAGGCCTCGACCTCCCAGGTTCAAGCAATTCTCTGACCTCAGCCTCCTGAGTAGCAACCATGGCAGCCGCCATGCCTGGCTAATTTGTTGTTGTTGTTGTTGCTGTTTTGGTAGAGACAGGTCTCACTGTGTTGCCCATGCTGGTCTCAAACTCCTGAACTCAAGCAATCCTCCCACTTCTGCCTCCCAAAGAGTTGCAATTGTAGGCATGAGCCACCACACCTGGCTATTTTCCTCTTTTATCAAAAACAGAATATTTAACATACTACTATGTAGAATCACTCACAAACACACAACTTATTATGAATATCTATATCAGGTTTAATGCTACATGACAATCCACTGCATAGGTGCTTTTTTTTTTTTTTTTTTTTTTTTGAGACAGTCTCGCTCTGTCGCCCAGGCTGGAGTGCAGTGGCACGATCTCGGCTCACTGCAACCTCTGCCTCCCAGGTTCAAGCGATTCTCCTGCCTCAGCCACCTGAGCAGCTAGGATCCACAGGTACGTGCCACCACACCCAGCTAATTTTTGTATTTTTAGTAGACACCGGGTTTCACGACATTGGTCAGGCTGGTCTTGAACTCCTGACCTCATGATCTGCCCACCTCAGCCTCCCAAAGCGCTGGGATTACAGGTGTGAGCCACCAAGCCCAGCCTTACTTTTGAAGACAGAGTTTCACTGTGTTGGCCAGGCTGGAGTGCAGTGGCAAAATCAGCACTTACAGCTGCCTCCCAGGCTCAAGCAATCCTCCCACCTCATGCACTCCACCCCCCCGCCCACCAATTTACCCCAATAGCTGGAAATACAGGCGCACAACACCATACCTGGTTAATGTTTTGTTCTCAATATAAACAAGGTTCCACCATGTTACCCAGGTTGGTATTGAACTCCTGAGCTTAAGCAATTCCTCCACCTTGGCCTCCCAAAGCGCTAGGATTAGAGGTATAAACCACAGTGCCCGGCCTATATCTTTCTTACTCTACAAATTTTTATTACTACAAAAACACTGCCAGAGATCCTTTTTTTTTTTTTTTTTGAGACGAAGTCTCCTTCTGTTACCTTGCAGTGGCGTGCTCTCAGCTCACTGCGACCTCCGCCTCTTAGATTCGAACAATTCTCGTGCTTGGGACTACAGGCATGCCACCCCGCCCTGCTAATTTTTGGTTTCAGTAGAGACGGGGTCTCATCATGTTGGTCAGGCTGGTCTTGAACTTCTGACCTTGAGTGATCTGCCCACCTTGGCCGCCCAAAGTGCTGGGATTACAGGTGTGCACCACTGCGGCAGGCTGAGGTCCATTCTTATACCCGAATCAGAACACACATCAAAGATAGCTTTTTTTTGTTTGTTTGTTTGTTTTGAGACACAGCCTTGTTCTGCTGCTCTGGCTAGAGTGCAATGGTGTGATCGCGGCTCAATGCAACCTCCGCCTCCCAGATTCAAGGAATTCTCTGCAACCTCCACCTCCCAGGTTCAAGCGATTCTTCCCGCCTCAGCCTCCCCAGTAGCTGAGATTACAGGTGTTCGCCACGATGCCCGGCTAATTTTTACTATTTCTAATACAGATGAGGTTT